GCATTGTAAAGTTCAGCATGTGAGAGAGGCCCAATGTCCATTGCAAGCAAACTTTTTGAGCAAGTGTCTCGGTCAAAAATCATAGGGTCATAACGACATAGCCCCGGTAGTTCACCGTCGAGAGGTTTAGGAAGATTGGGGGTTTCACTTTCCCAACAGAGCAAGGAAGTGGTTAAAGAGATATCAAGGTTGTATGGCTTGTGAACACTAGGGAGCCATTCTACCCGACCGGTTGCGTAATCCGATTCTGCTGTAGACAGGTTTCCGCAGTTGTTCTGCTGGTTTGCAAACTGGAAAGTCATTGGAGTGACACTGGATTTCTGCTGGTCTGTTGTGTTGATGTTCTGCCGCAGATGTAGTGGAGATTGGATGTTCTCTTCATTCCTATTTGGAAGGTCCTTGGATGGTTTGGTACTAATGTTCTGCTTCTCCGAGCTGCTGCTATGGAAATGTTGAAGGTTGGAGATGAATTTCCATAACAAAAGGTTGTTCTTACCTGTTGGCAGGGAGATTGACCGAGTGCCTTCCATTCTGGATTCAGAGATACTTATGAAATCAGATTCCCTACCCACTTTCAAAGTCCTCTTCTCTGTATTTTTTGAGAAAACCCAGCAAGGTTCAAAAGAGATTTTTAAGAGGCATTCTACTAACCAACTAAGTAAATCAGAGTCAAGCCAAATAATGCAACTTCTCTTTCCTTCAATAGAGACACAGTAAGTTTGATTGTAAAAAGAGTGAAAAAGAGTAAAGGTGTCATGACCTAGGGTGAGAGACGCCTGAAGATTGGCCATCTGCTGAGTACTCTTACGGTATTCCAGAAGGTTTCCGTGGATGAAGTCTGAATGTCTAGATGTACCGTCAAATCTATGATTGGCGCTTGTGATATTTTCACCAATATGTTGATAGGGTTCTCGGATTGGGCTCCTCCTTCCTTGAATTGAGCGCCGATCTGAGCTTCTACGCCGATTGTCATCCCGGATTGGAAGCCAATAGTCATCTCTGTTAGGCGATGAAATCTTACCTTCGTTAGACGATAAACCAGGATCAAAGGGCTGGTAGCAGCTTTGTACGTTCGGGTAAAGATCAGGGGAGGCTCTGCGAAATCCATCTGAGATTCTTCGAAGTGCAGATTGTCGTTGAGAGGGAGCCAATTGGAAGGTATAGCGAATTGGGCGGCGGCGATAGTCGCCTCTTGCCCCTCTCTCTCTAGAAAAATCCATCACACACACAGATATATATATATATATATATATATATATATATATATATATATATTAACAAAAAAGGGGAAGTTTTATTAATGAAAACGGAAAGAAGGAAGGCGCTCATTCAAAAGAGCGGCCATTACAGAAGAAGGACAGTCATTAAAATTACAATATTCAATGAGAGAACAATCTTTTAATCTATCCTCCTTAGCCAAAAGATCTGCAGGATGATTACCCTCGCGAAGAGTATGTGATTTCAATATATCATTCTCAAAAATTAGTTTGGCCAGAATGTCAATCGGGAAAGGAGAGAAAGCGTAATGAGTGTAATGGCCAAGTCTCCTTAAAATTTCCAAGGCATCCGTTTCATAAACGAGCAAGGGATGAAACGAAAGTGCCCATTGAACTCCTTTGATTGCTGCATCCAGTTCAGCTTGGTAAGGGGTGGAGCCTGAAATGAGGAACAAAGCTGCACGCACAAATCTACCCTCGTCATCACGCAAAATAGCTGCACCTCTATTGGACATGGGAGTGAAAGATGCATCAATGTTGATCTTAAGACGTCCCTTTGGAGGAGCTAACCATTTGACAACGCGTACTTTAGGGGCCTTAGGGAAAGAAGGCAGCAACTGTTTTGCAGCAAGCCATGGATCAGTAGTCCAGAGCCTTTTGGGGGTTTTTGCGAGGAGCCATTGTCTCACAAACATGGAGATGGACTCAACGAGTGATCAAAGGTTGAGTGCAGATTTGTTTTCATAAAGGAGATCATTCAGTTCTTTCCAAATGTGCCAACAAATGATCCCAGGGAGATGCAAACGCAAAAAAACCATGAATGTTGTTGTTGTTACCTCCCAGCCACCAACTCATGAAATGTTGGTTAATGGAGGACGAAGAGCTGTGCAGAAAACCAAGGCATGCTGAAAAATATCTCCATATCTCCACAATTTGTGGGTAGTCAATGAAAACATGTTTGGAGATGAGTGAATCCGCCTTACAGAAAGGACAGATAGAGGGCAGCTGGAAGCCTAACCTTTGGAGATTTTCTGGTAAAGGAAGGCAGCGTTTGAATAGTTTCCAAGTGAAAACCCCTACCTTAGCATTTTGTGGTTTCATCCAAAGGTGTTTGAAGGAGGCATGACTAGGAGATGCAGGTCTGCAGAGATCAAAAGCAGATTTGAGGGAAAATAATCCATTGGCCTCAGGAGACCAGACCACTGAACCATCTTCAATGAAGGAACAAGCATTGGACGCAGTTTCATCAGCCCTAGAAATCCTCTTCCAAACAGGAGAATCTGTTAGAGTCTCAAAGATGTCTCCATTTCTCCAGTATTTAGCCCTCATAAGCTTAGCCCATAGCCCATTGTCTTGATAAAATTTCCACCAAAGTTTAAGACTGAAAGCATTCTCTAGGCTATTGAGGTCTCTAATGCCAAGGCCTCCCTCTTCCATAGGATAGCACAACTTCTTCCAACAAATCCAGTGATGTTTGCTAGTGCCACCACCCCACCAGAGTCTAGCCATTTTTTGCTTAAGCAGATGAGAGATGGCTTTAGGGATGGTGTTGGCAGCTAAAAAGTAATTTGGAATGGTGTTTAAAACATGTTTGATCAACACCAAACGTCCAGCTTGATCCAAATTCTTTTGAAACCATCCATTAAGCTTGTTGTCAAAGGATTGGATAAGGAAAGAGCAGTGACTCTTCTTGGTGATCCCCAAATCAATAGGCACTCCAAGATAAGTGAAAGGAAAGCCTTTATGAGGCATCATCAATAGTTTCTCAAGTTTGGTGATTGTAAGGGAATTAAATTTGGAGCCAGACATGAAACTGCTTTTACCATAGTTAATGGTCTGCCCAGACACAAGCTGATAGTTATGAAGAAATCTTTTAAGATTGTGGACAGATCTGGAGTGTCCAGAAGTAAAAATAATAATGTCATCTGCGTAGGACAAATGGGAAATGGAGATAGAGTTTCTGCCACAATTAAACCTGTCAATGAGGCCATCTTGAAACATTCTGTTGAGATTTCTGGAAAAACCTTCATTGGCAATAATAAACAACAGGGGAGATAGGGGATCTCCTTGTTTAACTCCCCTAGATTGACCAAAATAACCACATGGTTTACCATTGAAAAGGACAGAGTATTTGGAAGAGGAGAGAAGATTGTTAACCATGTGAATAAAGGTGCAGGAGAATCCAAAAGACTTGGGAATATCAAATAAATATGACCATTTTAGCTTATCAAAAGCCTTGGCCATATCTAGTTTAATAATGAGGTTGCCACCATTAGCCTTTCTATTAATATGATGAACCATCTCCTTAGTGATAAGGATCTGATCCAGAATCTCCCTTCTAGGCACATAAGCAGCCTGTTCTTCTGAAATAATGAGAGGAAGAATCTTACTTAGCCTCTTTGCAATACATTTTGTAGCAATCTTAGAGGCCACAGTTGACAAACAGATTGGCCTAAAATCATGAAGTTTCTTAGCATTCTCCACCTTAGGAATAAGACAGATATTGGAGGAGGCAGCAGCATGAGGTAGTGGGAGACCAAGGAACACCTCCTGGCAGGCAGAAACCACATCACTTTTAATAAAATCCCAACAACATTTGAAGAAGGTAATGTTGAAACCATCGGGGCCAGCTGCTGAATTAGGATCCATTTCCCAAATGATAAGTTTGATCTCCTCTTCAGTAGGTAGACACATAAGGTAATCATTATGCCTTTGATCAACCAAGGAAGGGATGGCATCAAGGAATTGTTCATAGAGATCAGGAGAAGCAGATGGTTCTGCCTGATTCAGTAGGGTGGTATAATGATGAACAGCAAGCTTTTCCATCTCATCAGGCTTGTCAATGATTTTACCCTCATCATTAAGCAGCCAATTAATCTGTTGATGCCTCCTTCTATTTTTAACCAAGTTATGGAAAAATCTAGTATTAGCATCTCCCTCTTGAAGCCATTTAAGATTGCATTTCTGTTTCCAAAAAAATAAATTCCCTGTTGGTCATCTCTGCAAGGTGTGCTTTCTTTTAGTTAAGGAGGATTTTATTTTCAGAAGAGGGATTCTCTTCAAAGAGGATTTCTGCTTTGGATGCTTCCTCTTCTGCTTCTTTGACCTTATCAAATACATTGCCAAACTGATCCTTATTCCAAGATGAGAGTTTGGCTTTGAGGTGTTGGAGTTTATTGAACAAACATCTCATTCCACCAAAGACAGGAACTTCCTCCCAACTTTCCTTGCAAAATTGTATAAAGTCCTCCCTTAAAAGCCACATATTCTGAAATCTAAAGGATTTAGGAATGTCCCTGACCACAAGCTTGGAGCTGAAGAGAATGGGATGTCCCTGATCACTTCCTCCTTTGGCAAGGTGATGCATGTACTTGTTGTCCCAGTGATCTGCCCAACCAGCATTAAAGAAAACCCTATCAAGGCGTCTCCAAACATTACCATTACTACGAACGCCATGCCATGTAAAGGAAGGTCCACTGAAATTACAATCAAGGAGGTTACAATTTGAAATGCAGCTACTAAAATCATCAATAGCTTCAAGATCTGGAAGCCTAGCTCCTTTATGATGAAGGAGATCAGATATTGTATTAAAATCTCCCCCAAGACACCAGGGAAGCAGAGAGCTATTGTTAAAGGCTTCAATATGATTCCAAAGAGCTTTCCTTTCAGCAGTAGAGTGACTACCATAAATACCACTAATAGTGAAGCTGAAATTATTCAGAACATCCCTCAATTTGAAGTGTGTAATCTGAGCATGGTCTAACACATCAAGAACCTCAAATTTGGATTGGTTCCAAAGGAACTAAATTTTATTATTAGCAACATAAAGAAAACCATTAAAACCAAGCTTAAAGGCGAGGTTATTACCCTTTGCAGCAGAAACAAAAGGTTCAATAAGGATAAAGAAATCAATAGAATGGTGCTTCTTTAAATGAGAGAGTCTCTAGCACCTCTTCGAGACTCCCCTCACATTCCAAAAAAGAGTGCAGATCATTTCAGGGCTTGGAAAACCCCATCAACAGACTTTTTATAGTCTGAACGCGTACGCATTTTCTTCGGTGAGGGAGGAGTAGAAGAAGATGTCTTCTTGACAGGGATATCCACTTGGAGATCACAAAGAGGAAGCTCCGTGACACTATGATTAGATGTGGGATCTAAGGAGGTGCATGAGTCAAAAACATCATTTACCAAATCAAGAGAGACGTTCTGACTGGAGGTGGGCTCAACTACAGGATTAGTAGGATCAAAAGAGGAATAGGCAAGGCCATTATTGTCCAGAAAAATCACCTCTTTTGACCCGATGAAATGAACCTCCGGCCTATGCCTAGCACCAGCCTTAGAAGATTCCTCATGGCATGGCATGCATGGATTGACTTGTGGCATGGAGGGCTTTTGAACCCACGTAACTTTTGATTTTGGAGGCTTGCCCTTACGATGCACAGTGGTCCAATCATTCAAAACCCCTTTGCCCTTATCCTTCATGGGAGGAACAGCATCCACTCTTTGAAAAGATTGATCAATCTTTTCAATCTTGAAAAGATTGAATTCCATTCTTTGATCAATCTTGAAAAGAATGGAATACGTGGAATACGTGAAAACCAAAGATTGAATTCCATTCTTTGAAAACCAAAGATGTTCATGATACCGATCTTTGAAAACTATACCCTGTGCAATACGTGGCTCGATCACAATAGTAAAACTACCCTGACTTGAAGTATTATGTTGAACCTCTCGTTGTGAACTACAAAACGATTGATGCGATTACGCTATCTTTGAAAATTATTATCAATGATCTTATTGACCAAACAAACCCCGTTATGACCCTAACAAAGGAATGTATGAGTAATAACCATAAAAAAATGACGTCAGAATGATCAAGCTGAATCATTCAAGCAAAAATCCCGAATTTACATGCGATGTTGGTGTAAGAACTCGTACGATTCCTTACTCTTTGAATTCGTGAATTGAATCACATCCCGAAGATATTCTCTTCTTCCCTTGAAACAAGATCAACCATAGTGTTACAATCGAACCTGTCGCTATCATGAACATATTTTTTTTCCAAATTGATGAAAGAAATTTGAAATACAACAAGACATATATGATACGCTACTCGAACGTCATCACCTATGAATACAAAGACTCATTAACGATAATGAGAGCTACCATGAAGTGAATGAAGAAATATTCCAATGTAAATCGATGATCAATCGACAGTACTTCCTCATAAATGATGCTTCATATTCTGAAAAATCATGAACACTTAATATCCATTTAATGTTATCTATGAGTCGTTGCTGAAGATGTCTTAAAGGCTTAGAAGATTACACTATGACGTATGAATTGAAACAAATCCCTAACTATACCTTCCGTTAATATAATGATTCGAAACTACAAGGGCTATTGAAGAGCTTTCGATCAAAGAATATTGTTGATCAATGACGTATAAGCGAGATCTGTGAACAAACAAAATTATGTGCAAATATGTCAAGTATACTCCAAAATATGATGTAAAGGAAACTTATTTAATTATTTTTGACTTCAAATGGGAATCTGTAAAAAGATGTATGAATAACTTTGTTAATCTCTCGAAGATAGAACGAGTATGATGACAATAACGGTTTGAGAATAAGTATTCGTAGGGATAACGACGTAATCATAATGAATGAACATGACGGAGTCATGGTTAAA